CTGGAGGGCTCTGCTGACCATTAGAAAAACTAGATGTCAATCTGTGCTTGACTCACCCAAGAGGAGCGACCTTGAACTAGGGTGAGTCAGGGTTTTGTAAGAAGTGGTCGGGAGGAGGCAGGGTTCACAGGAAGTGTGCCTGTGGCATGTATACTCATGGCCCCATCACTCCTAAATGGAGACTTGCAGTTCCAGAAATCACCTGCCATCCCTGCCTCTGCCTGGTCCCTCCTACTCCCGCTCCCACCCACGGCCTGGGCAGCTCCTATTGGTCCTGCATGACCCTGCCGGCTCCTCCTCTGGGAAGTCTTTCAGCCTACCCTCAGCCCAGTGAGCGCTCTCCTCCGGGCTTCCATAGCCCCTGTCCTTCTCCCTCCGTCAGCCCCTGAACCTTAACCCTCTGCAGTTGGTCCTTTTCCCCATGAGCTCCCTGAGGTCAGGTAATAGGTCTCATTCATCTTTGAATTCCTGGTTCTTGGCATCATGCCTGGCATCAAATCAGCATCAATGAATGTTTGAGGAATGAATAGAGGAGCTGGGCCAGCACCACCCACGGAGAGAGAAATGCGGGCCAAGGCAGAGGCCAACACCAAGGCAGCTGAGCCACCCCAGACATCCTCTGCCCCACCAGCAGGCTCACCCTGGCTGGCGACCAAGTCCAAGATTCGGCCTCACTCCTAAATCATCTCAGACAGGGCGGGGCGGGGCAGGGCAGCCTTGCTTCCGCCCATCCTTTCCTTTTTTCCCGGCGGGAGGGGTGCCTCCCTGACAGCATGCCCAGAGATGGGGCAGGAGGGGGATCAGGGGAATGATGAGGCCAGTTGAGGACACACGGTACAGAGAGGAGCCAGGACACTTAGGGGACCAAATGCATAAAGTGACAAAAACAACTATGTTCTCAGGGAAGGAGATGGCTAAAAGGTGGCCCCTGGGACCTAAGCACTGGCTTCCTCATTAGAGTGGAGGGGGTATGGTTCAGGTCCCCTAGAGTTCGTCCTCTTCCCAAAGCCCCTTAGGTTCCTGAACCCTAGAGTAGGGCAGTTCATGTTTTGCCTGATCTGACTCCAGGGCATGGGCCAAAGCCGAGTGCTTCACTCCTTCTGACAGCTGTGTGGGCCAGAGGCCATGACTTCTGCTGCCGCCGCAGATGGTTACCCCAGCTGTGGGTCAGAGACGTGGTGCTGCCAGGTACAGCACGCCGATTGCCCTGAAGCCCTTCCTCCCGGCAAGGTGTTAGTTAAGAGTGATACCATCAACTGCCAACTAATGGGCCAATGACGAAGGAGAGTACTTTGGGTGGCCCTGAACCCCAGCGTCATGGTCTTCTCCCCACCCCAGTGCTCCTGAGGGCCTGTCCTCTGAGGTCACTCTGATCACTCCGCCTCAACATCCAGAACCATCTTGGGCCCTCGCCCCAGCACCCTTCCACTCAAGGTCCATGCCTGTGTAATGGCTCTGATACCTTCCCCTCCTGACCTGACCAGCCCACAGCTCGTATTCCCACTCGGACCCTAGTTCCATCACACTCAGGTCATAGCAACGCCTCTTCTTGGGTCCCTCCCATTTCTAGTCTACCTGCCAAGGCCCCATGTTCTGAAATCGAGCTCGAACTGTGTAGCTCCCTTGCTTACAACCTTCCCTGGTTTCCTATTACCTATCAGATTCACTCCTGGCCTCTTCCTTGGCATTCAAAGCCCCTCTGCTCTGGTCTCAATTCAGCCTTAACTCCTCCTTGCCTCTCCATGATGTCCCCTCTGTTCATCGTTCCGTGGTCACTCCAAGGCTCCAGGCCTGTCCCCTCTACCTGGAAAGCCCTCGATCTCCACCTTGGAGATCTCGTCCATCCGTCCAGGCCCCTGCACAGTGGGAGCTGGATGTGCTCTCCTCCTTTGAGATGTGAGCCCAGGATGTGAGCCCCCAGGAGGTGAGCCCTTCGAGGGCAGAGCTCTCTCATCGTCTCTAGCACACAGTGTGCAGAGCACAGTGCTGGGCACAAGAGGGAAAGAAGAGATGTGGAGGGAGATAATGAGCTGTGTATGCATCTGGTCAATGTTTATTGAACACCTACTAGATGCGCACCCTCTGCTAGGCATCCAGGATACAATGGTGAACAAGATCGGTGTGTCTGCCCTGTGGAGTGTAAACAGCCCATGCTCTAGAATGTTGCGAGAATTAGGGGATTAGCCACAGCTCCATTCATTCCACCCCACTTCCCCTGCATGTCTGGGGGCTGCTGCCCAGGGGTGTGTGTTCAGGGAATGCAGATCGAAGGTTCTTCAATGGCCCAAGTGGAAGCAGCCATCGGCCGGGGCCTGCACATCTTTAGGATGTATCAGAGGTCATGCCATTCACCTGCTCAAGGACAACCCCTGCAAGGCTCAGCCCCCTCCCACTGTCCCCAGGGCTGGGCAGCTCAAGGTCTCCAGGTGTTTTAGGTAGGCACTGAGAGGGCAGGGGCCCTGGCTGGTCCTTATGGGTGGTCATCTTTGGTTGTGTTGGAGGAGCAGGTGGGTACTTCATTTTCCCTCCATCTGTCCTCTGGCATGGAAAGAGAGAAGGCGTGGGAGAAGAGGAAGTAAGTCCCCAGGTTAGATAGCCCATCCATGGTCCCATGGGTTCACAGATCCCAGCACTGTAGACCTGCTACCAACCCCACAGAACAGCCCTGACCAATCACAATGGATGCTGGCTGAGAGAACGGGGCAGGGTACTAGGGGTCCCATGTAGATGCCCTTTTAATTGCTGGATTGTGGGGTGAACCAGAGTCCCAGGGGAGGAACAGGAGCATCTAGGGCAGCAGCAGTCTAGACAAAGATGATCTACCTACTTGAACAGAAGTATTTTTGATACTTACCTTAAATATTTTAACAGCTAATATGACTGTGTCAGTGCATTTCAGCCCTGCTACCAACCACAGTGCCCATATTATCACATCAAATCCAATTTAAAACCACATATTTTATTGATGCTCTTCATCAACAATACAGGGCCATATATGCAGATGCTACTCAAGTCCTACATCTGGCTACCTCCCCACCGTTACCCCCCACTGCCCAATCTGTCCGAAGCCGACCCCTACAAGTCTCCCTTTGGCTCTCTCCACCAATGTTCAGCTTCACAGTGCTGAGGCTCCAGGAGGTTGGGAATGGCCAAACCAGCTTCTAAGCTTGAGCGTTGGGGTCAAGAGAGAGCCAAGACATGGATCACCCAGGGCCTCTCTCCATACCCTTCCAATCCCACTACCTAAGTATGACCAGAACTGGGATAGGATGCTTCCAATGACTCCTCCATCCAGGTAACCTGGTCTTTCCTTCAGACCTCTCTACCACATCCTTCCCCTCCAAGTGACCAGCCCTGCTGACCACCAAGATGGCAGAGTGACCATTTTTCTGGGGGTGAGAGTCAGTGCATGGGGGTAGTGACAAGATGCCCCGATGGCAGGAATCTCATTGTCTTGATTACCACTGTATATCAGTGCCTGGAAGAGCACACAATTGGCACTAAATAAATACATGTGGGATGTATAAATGAAGGAATATGGAAGGGAGATGTATAAATGGGTGGAGCCATTACTATATTAGATCTCTAGGGGGTATGAAGGCCAGACCAAGGTAAAGTCCTTCCTGGCTCTGCTCAAGAGCTCAGGGCATTGTGTAGCAACAGCTGCGTTGCCATGGCCACCAGCTGGACATTGTAGGGTGTGGGTTTCAGCCCTGCTGCTTGCATGGATGGCAGACTGGCTTTGGGACCAGTCAGGAGGGGCACATGTGTTGTCCCCACTCCCTCATATGCCCCAGGGGTCTGGTCCTCTGGGTTCCAGAACACACAGCCATGCCTCTATTCAGAGCCATTCAGATAAACAGGGTTGGTCTGGCAATTGCACCCCTATATTCTGGTCTCCCCATTTCACAGCCTCAACTGTCTTAATCTCACCCTTCCAAGTTGAGCATGACCTTCAAGCTCTGCTCTCCCCACCACTGTCCCCACCTGCCCTTGAACTGCTCCATCTCCCTATCCTCAAATGCCAACCCCATTAACTAGCATTGACACCCAGGTAGACCAGTCTCTCCAGACTCTCTCTCCTCAGTAATTGGGTGAGGTCCTAAAAGTTTGCATCATACCCAGCCCACACTCCATGAAACCAAATAACTCACAGGCATCTCAACAGATCTTGCCTCTGGACCTGGCAGTCACAAAGAGGACACCAGAATCTTGGGGTGGGAAGAGATTTTTCCCTTCCCTGACCCTGTGTAAAAATTATTTCCATGGAATGCCTGCTAGATGACTGCCTAGTCTCCACTTGAATACCTCCAGTTTGGGGGCACTCACTACCTCCCCAGGAAGCCATCCTAACGATGAACAGCTTTAGCTGCCAGAATGTCCTTTATATAGGGAAGGGATGAACCCATTTACCTCTCTTATTCTCATTCCCCAAATATTCTAGCACTCAGCCTCTGCTGTGTGACCCTCTCTCTTCCCTTCCCCTAAGCATTTGTATTCCTCTCCTCCTCCTCCTCCTCCTCCTCCTCCTCCTCCTTCTCTCTCTCTCTTTCTCACACACACCCCCTTCTATATGGTTATGTAGTCACATGCCTCTCATTTATCAGTATGTCCCCTTTCTCTCTCCCTCCTCCTTGCCTTCCCAGCATCTAGCAAAGGCTGGAAGAGTGCCAGGGAAAGAAAGCGTCGAGCCAGGACCTGGACTGGGCCAGCTGAAGCAGGGTGCACAGGGGCTGGCAGCTGGAAATCCCAGACCATTGGCTGCTGTGTCCCAAAGAGAGGGCCTTGCAACTTGAGGGTGGGTGGGCAGCAAGCTACTGGGTCCCCCTCTCAATGCCCACAATTCCTCAAAGGGGATCAGGATGCACACTCCTCCTTTCTCAACCTCCCTGGCAGTTGGCAGAGCAGACTTGGTAATTTAAACATTTTGTCATTTTAAACATTTTGCCAGCCTCCCGGTCCCAGGGAGCATCATGTCAGCAGCAAGAATTCATTCCCCACTCCCAACATGGGGCTTTAGAGGAAGAGCCCTAGCAGATGGCAGTGATGGCAGGAGACACGGTAGAGGGTGGATGAGGCAGACAGACAGGCCAAACGGGGACCCCAAGGAGAAGAAACGAAAGCAGAGGCCTCCTAGCAGCCACCTGGCTGGCCCATGGAGAGTGTAATAATGCCTGGATGGCCATTTTTCCTCCTTGTCATAATCCACCAGCCAATGTGGTTCTCTATGGGTCACAGACCAGGGGTAGATGCTAGGACATCACCAGCCCTAGGTTGTAGTGGGGTCATGTGTGGAGACAAGGGTGCCATGGTCTTGTGTTCAGAAGGAGTCAGGACACAGAGAATGATGGGAATATCTGCTACTTGTCCCACTGCTTGGAGCTCTCGCCTCCGACGTTGAACATGGGGACCAGCAGGCCCAGCAGCCACCTCTTACCGAACACCTCCTGTAAATTCTTGCGCCAGGGCCGGGCCCTCACTGATACCCCCTTCCGCACCTGGTGGCGGGTCTGCCCCCGGAGGATCAACAGCAGCTGATGGCAGCAGAAGCCGGCGCAGGCCAGGCCGACGGCAAACCAGAGGTAGAGCATGAGGATGACGAACATTTCAGAACCGAGGACAGCTCCTGCAGGGGGGCGGGGAAACACCAGCATCGCTTTACACCCAGGCCACGTACAGACCTGCCATCACTGCAGGCGCTTTCTTTCCGCTAGGAAGGGAGGGAGATTAATGAGATTGAAGCTACATTTCATGGCAGGCTCGGGGCTGCAGCGAGGGAGAGGAAGGATACCTAGTTGTCCTAACTTTTTCTTAGTGCTGATGGCTCCTGAGGCCAGGAGAGAAATGGGGATGTAGGGGAGAAGGAAAGGAAGCTTCTCTGAGCAGCGCCTAGACACTAACATTCCTTGAGTTAGAGATGCATGTCTTTCTCTGTCCTCTCTTTCTGGACTGGAATCAGGGAGAAGGAATTTTTCTCAGGAGGAGAGAGGGGTGAACTGAGGATCCTAGAGAGGGAGCTGGCACCTGGGCAGCTGTCTAGACTGAAGCACCTTCTCCCTGTGGAGCTGGATGTCTTGGTTGGGAGGGCTCAGGAAACTGACAGCATGATGGAGAACAGGGCCTAGTCATCAAGAAGAATGTCATGAGCTCCCAGGGCAGCACAGAGCTCCAAGTTAGACAATAAATTAGTCATTAATGTTAACATGAGGACACTGGCCACCAGGACACTCAGCCCTTCTCCAGCTTCCCCTGGCCCCCATCTACCTCTCCCCTCATCTCCCCAGGCTCCAGTGTCAGACCCCCGAGGGCTGGGCTTTTCAAACTTGTCCAATCTGAGCAGTGGTGGGCTCAGACACCAGGAGGATATGGGTCTGATTCAAGTTTGCTCATTAGCAGCCCCCTCTTGCCCTGGAAGATTTGATGGTAGCTTCCTGTTTGCAAAGTTGGAGAAAAATAAATCCATCTGCCCAGGGGATTCATCCATTCCAGCTGGCATTTGGAGGAGCCCCTCAGCTGCCTAGGGGCAGCATCGGGACAGGGCTCACATTGGGCTGGCCAACCCTCTGACCTACTTCTTCTTGTCAGCACAGGTTAGCTCAGGCAGCCACATGTAGGGACTGTGGTCCCCTTAGGGACTGTGGTCCCCTTTGGGCTGTGGGAAGGCTGACAGGCAGAGATGGCCCTTGAGCTGGGATGTGAGAACATAGGAGCTGTCATGTGCTAGCCTGCCTTGCAACTCAGCCTCAGGGACAAGTTTGGGCTGATGGAAGCTATTTTCTATGTTTTTTTTTTCTGACACTAAATCCAGGCATGTGGAAAAGACCTTGTGCCCTTCTCCTGGCCCCTTGTGGCAGCTACAAAAGGCTCTTCTGGGGACCTGCTTTTTCTTGAAGTGTTTGAAGTTTCCTAACCTGGTTGCCTCAGCTTTCTGAACTATCTAATAATAGTTCTGCTTCTTTTAGAAAAATCACAGTTTTCCTAAAGGCCTGAATGGTCACACCATCCAATCTCTCCCTCCCTGCTTCCCACCCAGCATTTATAACAGCTTTGACAGATCATTGCCTAGCATCTTTAACATACATTCAGGGACAAGAAGCTCCCTTCCTCCCGAAGTGGCTCATTCACCAAGAAGTAGCCTCAGAGAAGCAATGTGGTGGAGTGGAAGGAATAGAGCTCTGGAGGCTAGCAACCCTGAGTCCAACTCTTGGGTTGAAATCATACTAGTTGTGTGGCTTTGAAGCAACTTAACCTTGCTGAACCTCAGGTTCCTGAGCCTTTAACATGGATATGATAGTACCTACGGCACAGACTTGTGGTGAGGATTGAATGAAATGAGACCTACACATTGGATAGCACATAATAGTGCTCAACAAACCTCAATCCCCTTTCCCTTCTACTGGACTTCTGGTGGCACCCACCACACTGGTGTGCTTATACAAATGCCATGACACAGGTCGGATGGCACATCTCAATTTCCTAGATGAGAAGAACGAGGCTCAGAGGTGATACAACCTATAACAATCCAATGAAGCCAAAAGAAAAGACAACTTGTAAAATCCACCTGGCCAGCCTCCTTCCTCTTTAGCATCAGCTAAAGGCCCATGGGCAGCATCCACCAGAAGACCACGTCCACGTCTAGCTCCCAGGGTCCACACTCACAGCCATCCCATGCTCTGGGGGCAGATATAACTCAGGGGCAGTATCACAGTTGGGAACAACAAGTACCACAGTTGAGCAATAATAGCTCAAACAACTTAGGCCTTCTGATTCCCTCCTGTTCTCCTGAGCAGAGAAGATAGAGACTGCCTTCAACCACTTGGGTTGAGAACAGGGGGAGAAGAGATAGGGAGGGAGACACTGAAGAGGTGAGGTGTATTGTTGGGGAGGGGAGAGATGAAGAACTGGCAAGGGGAACAATGAAAAGTTGGCAAAAGAAGGAGCTGAGATGGGTGAACTGGAGATGAGAAAACTTGGCCTTCTTTTCCTAGTGGGGATGGTGAGGAGGTAAAAGAGAATGTACATCCTTCTGCTGAAATAGGGATCTGGCCTCCAAGGTAGGCACTTACTGGCTCTGTTCTCCCATCAGATCAAAGAAATAGATCCCTCTTTTTTTCTCTCCTGCCTCCCAAACCTAGCACCTCTGGACAGGCCTCAAGCCTGGCTTAGCTCAAATCAAACCATTTCAAGATCCTCCCTTTGGAGTCATTCATTTTTACATGACGAAACTACTTGGAAAAGAAAGTGTAATTAGGTTCTCTGGCTCTCCGCATCCCTCCACCTGTCTGTGCTCACACTCCACCCCCCAGCTCGCCCACCTACCCGGTTATTTCAGTCCCAGCAGCCTCCTATGCTGGCGCTGGGATCCAGGAGGTCTAAGAGCCCTGAGTTCTGGGCCCAGCTCAGCCACCACCTCTCAAGGCAACTCCTCTAGCTGGGTCCTTCCTGGATCTCTGTGTTACCACTGCCAACGGCACGATAGTTCTGTGCCTGCAAAGGACCAGGCTACAGCCCCAACAAAGAGTGAAATGATGGCTCCCTCCAGAGTGGAGCAGAATTTTTAAGAATGTCCAGCCCAAGCACATCAAGACAATCTTGGGTTCTCAGCGGAAGTAACTGCAGTCTGTCTTTCTTTGTCCCTGAAAGGTCAATGGGTGAGGAAACATGTGTCCCCTGTGCTGCTGTGGGGGACAGGCCAGAGCCTGCTTTGCAGCAGTAGTAAGATCCTGGGCAAGCCATGTAAGTACATCTGAGCCTCGGTTTCTCCATCTGAGAAATGTAGATGACAATATCATACACACACATGTGCACACTATCAATTGTAAGAACCAAGTCAATCAGAATCAAAGGCCAGGGTAGGATGGAGAGGAAGGGAATGAAGGAGGGACAAATTTCAAGGCCGGGTAAAGTGGTAAGCGGTAAGAACTGCCACAGATCCCTCTGGGCCAGGTGTCAGGGAGCTGTTCTCGGGGCACGCTATATACAGTCCTCTCCAGGGCGCCCAGCTGAGCACCACTGTGAAGGCCCACATGTCCAGCTTCTGCAGGTTTAAGAGCCTCCTGGAGGGTCAGATCTCACCCCAGTCCTATGACTCTGTGGTATGAGGATGGAGCCATTAAGCATGGCTTCATCTCCAACCGAAGTGCCCTCTACTCGGAGGCATCTGCAGGCTAGAAACACCTAGTGGGGTCAAACATAATGGGCAGGAGGGCAGAACTTGCTGGGGCTGGCCTGGCACCCTGTTGACCTTACTGTGGTTGGTTGGCAAGACCTTTGGAATGCAAAGTCCTTAGGGGCACGTGTGAGCAGAATAGGGGTCCAGGCAGAGGAAGGTCATAAGATGGGTATACCTCACAGCCTGCATGGAAGGATGACCAGCATCCAGTCCACCTGGCATAGAGCAGGTGTATTGCCTGGATCACCACAGTTCTATGAACAAATGGGCAGTGGCAAACAAAAAGGAGATGATGAATGAGGATAGGGGTAGGGAGAGAGCTTGCCAGATGAAATACAGCATGCCCAGTTAAATTGAACTTCAGGTAGGTAACAGTACATTTTTTTAGTATAAGTATGTCTCATGCAATAATTAGGAGATACTTATACACTAAAAAGTTATGCATTGTTTATCTGAAATTATAGTTTAATTGGTCATCCTGGGGCTTTTTTTTTTTTTTGCTAAATCTGGCAAACCTGGGGTTGGGGTGGGGGAGTTTTTGTTAGGGCCCACTCACCAGAGAAGAACTGGCTGATGGAGGTGGGAAGGAGCGTGAGGAAGGCCAGGGGGTGGGCGAAGGAGATGGAAAGGACTGCAGAGATGTAGGCCACGCCCGCCACCATGGAGTACAGGCAGGCAAGGGAGGTGTAGAGGCAGAACAGGACGAAGTTGCGCATGTTTCTGCTGCCAATGCAGTTGCCGGTGAAGAAACAGTGATGGTCATGCCTCAGGGTGACTCTGGCGCACACTCGGCAAAAGTGGGTGCTGGGCGGGGTGCACGGAGCCTTGGAGGTCTCCTGGCAGGCGTCCAGGTCGTCGGGGGAATTCTGGATGACCAGGACGTAATTGCCCAGGGCATTGGTTGAGAGGAACAGGAAGAGTGCCCCGTGGAGCAACGCAGGCGAGAAGAGCGGGGCAGCCGCGGGGTCCTCGCGCATGCTGGGCAGGAAGAGGAAGAGATGGAGCACGAAGGTCACCAGGGAGATGCACAGGAAGTAGGCGGGGGCCACCACGTTGAGCAGCCTCAGGGCCAGCATCTTCGATTACATTCCTAAGGGGCCCAGGGTGAGAGGAAGACTTACTGCGGTGTCCAGGGGGCGCCCTAGGGCACTCCTCGGGCGTTGTCTGTCGGTCCCGCCCCACGAAAATCCGTGCTCCCTGATTCCTGTCCCTCGACCGCCCCTCCACTCTTTCCTGACCCCGGCTCAAGCAGGCATGAGATCCTGAGACCTCAACGGCCCTGGGGGTCAGGCTCCTCCCGGTGCCCGCTCCATCGATTTTTGAGCGACTTCATCGCCCTGACATCTCGGAGTCAGGCACAAAGAGAGCGAGGTTGGGGCTTGTTTGCAGTCTGTAAGGGATGGAGAGCAAGGGGTTAGGGCTCCTTTATGGCAGCCGGAAAGAGCCCAGGTTTGGGGTTTCTCCTTCAGAACCCCCAAGAGGAGAAAGCAAAAGATTTGGGGTGGGGGCTGAAAGAAATGATGGGAGTCCTGCTTCACCTCCCCTTTCTCAGCCCCTGCCCCTGCCCCCGCCCCTGCCCCATCTTGAGCAATACTCAGGGACCTCGTCCGTATGTGTGCTTGTGGGTCTGTGGTATTTGTGTATGTATGTATGTATGTGTGTGTGTGTGGTGTCCCTATGTGTGACTCTGTACGTGTAATCTGTGTGTGCATGGGTGTCTGTGTTTGTGTATATGTATATCTGTGTAACACACGCAGACGCTGCTACCTGGCTTTTAAAAATCAATTAAAACAATCAATACATTCACACACGCGCTCTGGCACCTAGTGGGGTGAGGTGGGGGCAGCAGGAATACCTGTGTCAGCCGGCCGTGGTCAGCCCACCTCTCCACGCTGACAGCCCTAGCTATTTCTTTGCAAAGAGCGTTTTCATTTGAGGCCACGATATCCACCCCCCCCCCCCCCGCCCGCCCCTCTCGCCTGCCTCCCGCCCTCCTGGAGCGAGAAACCCAAACAACGCCGATGGCGCCGAAACCCTTTCGGTACCAACAAGCCAGCTCTGGGCGCAGAATTGGATGCTTGGCCAGCCTTTCTGCTGATCGACCCCTGGCGCCAAGCGCAGCCCCCACCGCATCCCCACTCAACCCCCCAACCCCCCAACCCCCAACCCTGGTTCCTGCCCAGCTTCGGAGGCTACCAGGAAATAGAATTATGGGCGCCCGAGAGAACTTTTCCAAGGGCTAAGGAGTCGGGGAACCCGAGGCGCGAGAAAAGTTCTGGGAAGGCTGCTGCACCCAGCATGGGCGAATGCCACGAGGCCTCCATCCAGGCTGTCCCATCCGATTGGACGACTGATCACCTTGGAGTCCCCTCTGAAGGTGCCAGTGCCCCCGGGGATCCGCGGCCGCCGTGGGAAGCAAGGGCCTCTCTCCGAGGAAGGGGCGCAGTGCAAGACACGCCCATGGGTGGTCGCCGGGGGCTTGGCACTGCCTCTGGCCACGGCGCCGCCCACCCCAGAGAGCCCTCGGCCCGGGCTCCCATGAAGCAAGTGTCTTCCCCACGCCGGTCGCCAGGGGGGCGCAGGAGCAGCCTCCAGATGCGCCGCGGTGCCTGGAAGGCGAAGGACTGGGGCTGGGGGAGAGAGGGGCGTTCGGCGGGCGGCCGTAGCCCGGGCCTTGCGGTGGAGAAGGGGCGGCAGAGAACGCCGGGGCGGCCCGGGGACTCGAGGAGCTGTCCATTCAGCACTGGAGCCGGCTTCGTGCGCGGCGGAGGGCTGCGCGGCCGGAGCCCCAGCGAGGCAGGCAGCGCAGGCAGCCGCCCGCTTCTCGGCCACTGCCTCCTGGACGCCCGGGAAGACTCCCCCTGCGCTGCCCGCGCTGCCTCCCTGCACCGCCGCAGAGGGGTGGGGAAACGAACTCACCGAGCTCTGGTCGCGGATGAGAGGAGCTCTGGACGCCGGCTCTTGCACTCCCCAAGGCTGCAAAGTTGTAGGCTCGGCCCCGCTGGCTCGCAGCCTCCTCACGATTCGCTTCGGGGACTGGGCAGGTAGCGGGGGAGGAGGGAGCGGGCAGCTGCGGTCCTCCCACTTGGGCACTAGCGGGTGGGGGCCAGGAAGCGGCGGGGATGGCATCTGGGTAACCCACTGTCCTGCCACCCCTTCCCCCACTTCTGAGGTCGGAGTTCTGACCACCCCTCTCAGCATCGTGGACTTGCCCCCACCCCTCCCCTAGTTCCCTTGGAGCGGGCTGGGGCACCCTGTCTGACTTCATCCACCAGTACAGCCGGGATCTGGATTCAGCCCTGATGTAGATGCTCTAGCCATCATCTGCTCCTGCCTTTCTGCTGTGGCTGACAACCCTCCCTGTGCTCCACTCTGGGACAGAGAAAAGCCTGGGGGTTTCAGAGCTCAGCCTGCTAGGGACAACACCCATAAGATCAGCGTCATTGTTCCAGAAGGGTTGAGACCCCGACTCTGGAGCCTGTCTCTCTGGGTCTGAGTATCCACCATTCACTACTGTGTGATCTTCAGATTCCAGTTTCCTCATCTGTAAAACCGAGATGTGAGGATTAATATGACAATACATGTAAAGCCCTTAAACAGGGCCTGGCCATGGTAAGCACTATTTAAGTATTTTCATAATTATTGACACTATTTACGGGACTCTAGAACCAGGCACTGTGCTAGGCCTTTAGCATAAGGCAGCTTTGATAATCTTCTTAGCCGAAGCTTGAGGATCCCCACTGTATGGATTAGGAGGTTGAGACACAGAGACGCTAAGTCATATGCCCAGGGTCACACAGCGGGTAAGTGCAAGAGCCTGGACTTGAACTAATGCACGGTCTCTGAGCCTCTACACAATCCAATGCCACTCTAAGATCCAGGGGGAGCTCTCATTTGGGAGAAGGGAGGACAACAGAGGGGTTATCCAGGCACAGAGCTTGAACCAGGAGCCTCTGCCTGGCATCCTGTCCCATCTCCCTGTTGCTATTTCCTTCCCCTTCCCAACTCCACTATTCTGAGGTGGGTGCTGAGAAACACCAAGAGGGTGGGAACACTAGGCCAGTGTGTGTCAAATGGGGGTAGGGGTGAGGGAAGCAGAGGGAGCTTTAGAAATACTGCAGGAATATTGGAGCCACCACCACTGCCTCAGTTTCCTGGGCTGTCATGGCTCACTCCCTGCCCTGTTCTATTCCTCGGGGTGAAGGCAAACAAAGTAAATAAACAATTGTTTATTGCTTTCTCAACTGGTTGATTGATACAAGAGCAATCCTGCTCTGGCAGGTTTGGCTCAGTGATTAGTGTCGGCTCCGGGACCAAAGAGTCACAGGTTCGATTCTGATCAAGTGTACGTACCTCATTTGCAGTTCAGTCCCTGGCCCTAGTCAGGGTCATGCGGGAGGCAACCAATTGATCAATTGATGTGTCTCTCTCACGTCTCTCTCTCTCTCTCTCCTTCCCATTCTATCTGAAGATAAATGGAAAAATATCCTTGGGTGAGGATTAAAAACAAAAACAAAAAAGAAGAGCAATCCCTTCAAATGAGGGCCATATACTTATCAGCTCAGCCTATATTTTTTAGTCATCAGATACTGTTTTCTCTGTATTTTATCAGTGTATATCACAATAAAAAGAATTGGGTGGGGGGAGGAAACCTTCTCATGTTCTGAAAGGGTTTTACACATAAGCAAAAAGAGGAAAAAAAAAAAAAGAAAGAAAAAACCCAGCTTGGACACATTTGCCAGGTGTTGGTCTCTGAGAATCTGTAGCCCTGTGAGTTCCAGTGGCCACAGGGTTGACCCAAGGAAGCACAAGTGGCCTATTTTTTCCTTTAGAGCCACTTTATGTCAAGATCATGGCTGTCTGGGCCCTTTTCACAAGCTCTGCCGCCTCTCACCCAGGCTTGGAAGGCAGGGAGCCTGGAGGGCTTGTTGGGCTGTACTGATGGAAGATCTTCGTTCTCTAAATACCTTGAAATTCCGGTGGTATTTTAAATTTTATTTTGCTTATGGGTGTATGGTGGGAAGGTCTGTGTCTGAATTTGTGTGTGTGTGAGGAGAGAGAGAGAGAGAGAGAGAGAGAGAGAGAGAGAGAGAGAGAGAGAGAAGCTAAATGAATGTCGGAAGATTTCAGGGGCGGGGTGGGGGGAGATTTCACAGAGAGGTTAAGTGACTTGCTCAAGATCCCACAGCTGGTAAGTAGCAAGAAAGCATTCCTGGTCTGTTTCACTGCGATGGGGCCAGAACCAAGGCGAAGTTTTTCAATTGACCTCTCTATTGTTTTTGTCAGGGGCAAGCACCAATTTCTGAAAACCAAATAACATTTGGCTGTACTTCCTCTTAATTCCCTTAAGGGGAGGGGGCTGAGAAACTACTAATGATAGAGCTGAAGCTTTAATGTCCTTTTCTGTTGATCAACTATATTTCTAAATAAATAATTGTTCTTGTCCATTCTACAGCCAGATCTCTTTCCTGGCTGAATGAATAAATACTCTCTACCTCTCCCTCCCAATCTGTCTGAAGATAAATGGAAAAATATCCTTGGGTGAGGATTAAAAATAAATAAATAAATAAATAAAAATAAAAGTTGAAACAAAATAATACTAAGTGCCTCAGTCCCGGCAGGAGATGAGATAGAGTTAGTTTTTCCCCCTCCTATCTTTTCTGGCCTTTATCTTTATCCACAGAAAGTCTTATTTTTCCAACTAAAATGAGAGCTCTTGGCCCAAGTTGGAAATGTTTTGGGGTCTCCTCCGCATCTCCTAACATGACGCTTTGCCCAGAAGAGACACTGAGTTAAAGTATATTGACTGATGAGTTGCTACCGGCCTCTTTCTGAGAGGAAAAGCTGTGTTCCAAGGTCTTTGAAGTACCTGGCGAGGACACATTTGCCATTGAGCTTGCATTCTGCTGCCACCCACACTAGCTATAGTCTCATCCTTCATAAACAGCATCAGAAACTCATTTATAAACCACACACTCCATTGCCTTTGTCATATATTCTTATAGTTAAGCTATGACTATACCTGCAGGCTGTCCCAAGGGGGCAGTGACACAGACAGGCATCTGATTGCTGCCAAGCGCGTCCCCAGAAATATGTGCCATCAATCCTGCTGTTGGTGGTGTTATTTGAATAAAATGAATTCCCTCCCAGGTGGCAATCATTTCATTTTGTCTTAAAATGTGTGCAAAGAGAGGAACTCTATGCAGCAAGCACTTCTGCCTTGGGTAGGAGCGCCATACATGTCTGTCTGGCCCTATAACTTCCCAAGAGTTTGGGGTGGAGAACGTTCCAAGACACAAGGGGTCACACCTAAGGAGGCTCTGGGGATTTCCCTTCATTCTTATGCTCTTATTTCGGAGTGATGGGGGCGGGGGGAGAGGAGGATATAGGCTGGGGTCTCAAGGTTAACTGGTGCCCTGAAATGAAGATTTTAATAGACATCCTTGGACAGGATACACTTTAGTGCCTATGGCAAGTCAGAGGCAACCACAAAGTGCTCCCCAAGCCTCGGAGGGCTTAGCGAGACGCCGTCTGGCCTGCCTGGATTTGGAAAACATACAAGTGTAAATCTTTTTCTGAGCCAACCGAATCCAGGAGCATTGGATTATCCCAGAATTTCAATTTGGAGGTGGTAATTTACTTGGCCAACTATACCCTCATTGTAACAGTAACAGTACTTTGATGTAATAAAGTGCTTTGTAACCTTACAAAATACATCCGCAAAATTAAAATTTTATTCCACGAGTCTCTCAATAGCCCTGCAAGCTAGCTGGGGCAAAAATGATTAAACCCATTTTTCTTATGAGGAAACTGAGGTTCAGAGATTTGCCGCACATTCATTTGTAAGCCTTGCCTATGCTTGAATTAAAATGTGGTTTAACATGCAAACATCTTATTGATACTTAACATTTTCTACAATTGCGTAAAGGAAGCAGGTCTATAACCTACTCCCTCAGAATAAAAGACCTGCATGATCTCTCATTATGTAAGATATTTATGTAAAATTATGTAAATAAAATAAGCCTGCAGCACATTAATCAAATACTCGCAAGCACTTTGCGGTTTGTGGCGCGAGAGTGTGTATGTGATGGGGGCAGTGATGCTCACTCATCATCCAAACCCACATGTCAAGGTAGAAGCAGCAGGTCTGAATGTCAGCCTCTGGGTGACAGGTAACCCCAGCGGTCTCCCTGGTGATTGATGCCTCAGGGTGGAAATCCTGGCTTGACTTGGCAGAGGCTCCTCTGGAGCATTCAGGCTACAGAAGAATGAATGTGATCTTTTACCAATTAGCCCTGGTTTCCAGGGAGCACTCAGGCGGTCCTGGTGGGGAGGCTTCTGCCTGTGGACGGATGTACAGCTCAGCAGAGGAGGGGGCAGCAATATTAACCGACTCTTTCGTCTCAAAGCATGCAGGAGGAAGAAAGAGGAGATGCAGGGAGGGAAAAGAGGAGGAGCAAAAGGGAAGAAAGGGAAATGAAGAGAGGAAAAAAGAAAAAGGGGCTGAGAGAATGCACATTTATCTGACATAGCCTTGGTTTGTGTCTTCATGATGCAGGAGGTCAGGAGGGGCCGGGGGAGATCGTCTGTGTCCCCTGAGAACCCTATAATGCCAGGTGTCCTGGATGGGAGGGAGTGAGACAGAAGGCTGACATCTTAATTAGAGGAGGAGGGAGGTGAGGCCAGGAAAATGAGGTCACTGCAGTGCCCTTGGCTGTGTATAGGACTCTTAAAAATGTTATGGTCCTAGGACAACAGGCAACACAGGGCTCACACCCCTGCCGCCATTCCCTGCCCTGTTCCAGCAGAGATGGCCCACGCCCAGGAGAGAGGCAGTGTGGTGTGATGAAAAAAGCATAAGCTTTGGAATCTGCTGACCTGTTTTCGTGTTCATTTGCTGTGTGACCTTGAGCAAGTTCCTTAGCCTCTCTGAGCCTCAAATTCCTAGTCCACTTAATGGAAATTTTCGCTATAACTTGTAGAATTTGCCAAGAATTTTAGATGACAAAGATACCAACTCAATAGCACCTGCTCTTTCTACTGAAATAGTCCCCCAGCTACCAGGTACCAAATAATTGCTCTTGTTGCATAGCACTTACGG